TCATGTTCTGTGTATCAGAACTCTTTCGAAACGATACGTATCGGCCCGTATCGGCTGATATGTTACAAAATTTAAAACCTTGACCGTAACAAAGTTTCTCTAGTTATCTAGGGTTTTTTGGAAAAATATCCAAGAGCCTGCCTTGGGCTTCAACTAGAGACAAAAAATCTCCAAAAACCCTCCCAACAAGGCTACATAAGCTACTAATTAATCAATCGATTAGTTCTTCGTACACTGTGTATGAGCCAAGAAAGGAGGAAGACGTCGAAGGTGAGAACCTGCTCTAATACCAAGTTACAAAACACACCTATAATAATTCAGAAAATACAGAAAAGAAAAGAAAGAAGTTTCTACATGAGTTATTGGAAGAAGATGAGAGAAGAATATAAGGGAAGAGAGAAGATAAGAGTTTGATCCCTTTCTCTAGCCCCCAAAGATATCTTTCATTTCTTTAGTCCTAAACTGAGTACAATTCCATGAATGCCCTTAATAAGGCAACCAGAACTAAAGAAATAATATAAAAAAAACAAGACCATAACTGAGGTCCACTACTTAAAAGAACATAAGCATTAACATGACATAAATAAAGAAAGGAACTAAGGCCCATTCAGCCCATTCTCACTACATACACCCATTAAAGTTGAGCTTTACAACACCCTCCAGAGGGGGTAACTACTCATATAGTTGAATTTTATTCTTTCTGAAGGCTGTGGGGGCCACCTTTGCACAACTTCTTTGAAGTTCATTACAGAAAAAAGTTCACAAAGAGGTCTGAAGTTTTCTGGCAACAATTTGCCGTTGTCAAAATACACTCCTTTACTTCAGCAAGGCTTCTTTCATTTTCTTGGAATATTTTGGCATTCCTCTCCTCCCAAGTAGTCCATAAAATAGTTGCTCTAATACATTTCCACATTAGTTTCCCTCTCTTTGTTGTCAACCCAAAAGTAGACGGATCAAAAAGCATATTTACTTCAGAAGGAAAGGTTCTATCTGTGCACCTAAGCAACATAAAAACCCATCTTTACAGCAAAAGAACAAGATATCAACAAATGGCGGCAGTCCTTATTCTGCACAAAGTACACCAGTTTGGGGGCAAACACAAATAAGGCCTCTTCTCTGCAGGTTATCCAAAGTATTAATCTTAACATGATAAACTTCCAACAGAAAACAATTGTTTTAGGGGGAATGGGCATTAACCAAATTTCATTAACTGAGAACAATTGAGGGGAAAGAGTGGAACAAAGGGACTTGAAGAAAGTAGCACAAGTGAAGGAGCCACTCGGAACCAAAGTCCAAATTCTTCTATTAGGTTTGAGGGTGTCCAAACAAACAGAATCCAAAAGAAGAAGTAAAAGCCTAGAGACACGAGCAAATTCCTCATTCCTCAAGCCTCTACGAAACCCAAAATCCCAATTTAAAATCAACAAGAGAATCAGGGGAGAAAGCAACCTTGAAACAAGCTTCTTTTTATAGAGAATATAGAATAAAGTGAGGGGAAATGGACTTTTAGAGGTTGAGTACCCACTCAAACATCTTCCAAAAAGAGTACCCACTTGTAATCAGTAAATACTTTGTTTCTCATGCACTATAAAATATCCCATTGCCCAATATATGCCCCATGACCTTGTTTCCACCACCTATCGTGTCTTTTTATCTATCATTGACAGTATCCCCAAAATCCAAAAGTGTTGTAGAGGTCTTAATACATCCTGAATGGATAAATGCTATGAAGGAAGAGATTAATGCCCTCCAATAAAAACAATACATGGGAGTGTATCGGGAAGCCCCTGATACGATACATATCGACCAATACGGCCCGATACGTATCGAAACTTTGAACCTTGGAAAGACCTAGTAAGGTGCAAATGGGTGTTTTCAATAAAGCACAAGTTGAGGAGACAGTAGAGAGGTATAAGGCAAGGTTGGAGGCAAAAGAGTATACACAAGTTTATGGCAATGATAATGCTAAGACATTTGCCCCAGTAGAAAAGATGAATTCTATCTAAGTACTTATGTCATTAGCTACAAACTAGATTGGGAGTTGCATCCACTTGATATCCAAAATGCATTCTTGAATAGTGATTTAGAAGGGGAATGTATATGGTTCAGACACCGAGTTTTTGTGCCATGGGCAATGAAGACTAGGTGTGTAGGTTGAGGAAGACCTTGTATAGCTTGAAAGAGTCTCCAAGAGCCTTGTTTAGCAAGTTCCAGCAGATGGTTCAGCAAGTGTATTTCAAACAATGTCAATCTTTGTTAGGAGGATCATGGACAAGTTGCAATACTGATAGTATATGTAGAATTGTAGATGACATTATCATCACAGGCAACTAGGAATCTAAGATACAAAAACTAAGAGTTTTTAGCCACCCAAATTGAAGGGAAAGATCTAGAGAATCCCTACAGTATTTCCTTAGAATCGAAATTGCCTGCTCAATCACTCACAAAAGGGTATCTTTGTTTCACAAAGAAAATATGTCCTAGATCTCTTGAAAGACAGCAACTAAGGGAAAAGCCAGTTGATACCCCTATTGATGCTAATCACAAAGTATGTGATTGCGATGGAGAATCTTTGAAGGATGTGAAACAGTTTCAAAGTCTAGTGGGAAGACTGTTGTATCTCTCCATGGCATACCCTAAAATTGCTTATTTTTTGGGGTTCTAAGCCAGCTTATGCATTCCCTAAGGTACCACACTTGGAGGCTATTGAGAGGGTCCTCAAGAACTTGAAGAAGTATTATCCTAGAACTAGTTTGTTGTTCAAGAAGCACAACAGCATGAAGGAGGAGATTTTATACAAATGCAGACTGGGCAGGTGTTGTGGAAGATAGAAAATCCACCAATGGGTATTGTACCTTGGGTGGGAACATGGTGACACGGAGGACCAAAAAACAAAATGTAGTTGCAAGGCCAAGTGCTGAGGCAGCGTATAGAGCTATGGCACATGGGGTGGCTGAAGTACTACGGACAAAGAACTTGTCAAGAGAGCTGGGGTTTAATGTTCACAGCCCTGTCTCACTATTGTGACAATAAGGAACCCATAACTATTGAGACTAATCCTATTCTTCATGATAGAACCAAGAACATTAATGTGGGCAAGCATTTTATAAGGGAGAAGCCTGAGAAGGGGAAAGTCTACACTCCATATGTTAGTTCAAAAGAACAACTTGCTAATGTTTTCACAAAGGGACTTCCATGTCTGCGGCACAATGAACCTTGAGACAAGTTGGGCATGATTGACATATACAGCCCAACTTGAGGAGTTTTGTTAGTTTTGTTGTCATAGTGCTGTTACTGAGTTGTTATAAAGTTGTCCCATGTTAATTTTATGTTATTTTTCATTAGACTGTCAGTCGGGGGTATAGATGTTATTTCATCATTTTTATTTTGTTTCTCTATTATAAATAAAGAAGAGGACACTGCCAACCTATCTTTTGTCTTTCGATCCTTTCCCTTCCCCTCTCCCCTCCCTCTTTTCTCTTCTCTTTCTTCTCTATTCTCCATGGATTCTCTTGGTGAAAACAGTAACTATCTCAATGGTATAATATTAGTGAACTTAAATGATTTGTGTTACAGAAGTTGAAAGAGAATCAGCAATGCGTGACATGGTACAGAAGTATGGGTTACACTATTGCATAAAAGATACAACTCTTCTTTGAAGTCCAAACCATCAGGTATCCTTTTATTTTTTATTATGAACCATGGTCTGGAAAAAGAAATTAAAAAAAAAAAATTGAATAACAGCTTGAATTGAATATTAAACTTTTCCCACTATCAAGTAATGGGCACTTACTAGAAGGTAAGAGGTGCAAGGACCAAAATCAGTGATTTAAAAGGCGCACCTAGGTGCAAAGATGAGGCACATTTTAGGGTATGCACCTCACCTATGTCTTAGGCGCAACACTTTCAAAATGTGTGCACCTAGTGCACCTTGCGCTTCAGCCCATGTGTGCACCTTCTGAAAACCCCATATTTGCTAATGTTTCTCATTCATTCATCCTAATAAAAGGTATTTTTAAAAGACAATTCTAGTTCTAAAACCTGTTTTATAGGGATTAAGAATTTACGACCCTGATATGGACTTCTTTGGGCTTGCCTCGAGGGATTGGTACTAAGGTGGCTCAAAGAATCAAGAATGCATAATGTTTGACATCACATTAGCTATTTCAAGTAATGCAATTGAGAAAAAAAATAAAAAGATTTAAGAGTTTGCTTGAATATGTGCTATATGCTATGCCTGATTTTATTTTTAAATTTTCATTTTATGTTTTACATGTTATGTTTATGTATCTTAATTTGAGATAATAGGTTGTTTAAGCATTTATTTTAAAATTTAAGTTTATACTTTTAATTAATAATATGTTAATTATTTTGTTTTTTTATTTTTTGGCATTTTTTGAAATTTTCAGTTTTTGCCTTGCTTCAAAAAGGTGCACACCTCGCCTTGCACCTCTGGTGCAAAATGGCCCTTTTCACATTTTACACTTTTAAAACACTGAGCAAAATCAACAATGCCGCCAACCCTCCCCCCCCCCCCCATTGAAACTCTCTCATTTCAATTGGCAAACAGAGAGGGTCCTCTTCCCATTCTCTAGAGAACACAGGATAAATAGGGCTTCTATCACCTTCATTTGCCTGTATTGCTATTTTAGGCATTAGAATAGAGTCTTTGCCCCAATAATTTATTGCATGCCAAAATCTTGTGCATGTAGAAAAATTGATGTCCAGTGCATTTTTTCAAGTTTTTTGAATTATTGCATGCTGAAGTATGTTAAATGTTGTTTATTTTACTAGTTAGGATTTATAGGAAACGTGGAAGCATAAATCTTACCAACATGTAATATACACTATGTTATAGATCTTATTTCTACTCAAAAACCATCAACTAGTTGACAAGGTCTACCCTGTTGCCTAGTCTTGCCTTGCTTCCTTTATATCCATGCATGAAAATTTGAAACCATTAATTTCTGAATAGCCACTGCTGAAATATTACCACTTACCTTTAGAAACCCAATATCTATGGTCCCTCCTCTCCACTTTCTTTAAAGGCTCATGAATGCCAAAAATTTCGGAGAACCTTAATACCACCACTCCATCTTCTATACATAAAATAGGCAGTGATGTCACAGTTTTGGCATTTAATGAGTTCTGCATGATGTCAGGTCCATCCTAGAAGATCACATGCAACAAAACAAGTACAGAAAGAAATAAATAGAACAAGAAAATGAGAGAAGTAAACTCAAAGAAAAATGGATATCACAATTATCTACAGTATTCATTGCTAAACTAATGCAAGCACATGACAATGAAATGTGGTTTCTAGTCTAATTAAAGACTTTTCTGATCCACTCCCCATTCCCTCTAGCACCATCCAAATGTTGCTTGCTTATGATCACCAATATATGGATTTCCATGGGTTTTTATTCATATATTTTTTGAGAAGGTAAAAAGGCTTTTTAGACTGACTGAAACTGTAAGAAGACTTCACTTCCTATATTAGAATGACAAAAAGTATTTCTAATTTGGTTGTCTAAACTCCCAAATTAATAATCACCCTCTTGGAAATCATGATTTGCACCATTATATGTGGTTATCCTGTAAACCAATTCCAAAGGGGCCATTGCCCAGTGTAATGGTAAAATCTCAGGCTGGCCAGCATGAGAACCAGGTTCGAGTCCGAGGATAACAACTTTGTGCAAGAAGTGCCAAAAGATACGACACACCTGTAAACAGGTGTATCAGGCACCAAAAGATACGGCACAATACGCCCAATATGGGATGTATCATATAAATACTTTGAACCTTAGCTGGGACCAACATTGGGCAATGCCTTTTTTATTCTCTGAACACAGAGGAGCTGCTCTTTGATTAGAAAACAAGCCATATAGGTGGAGGTTGAAGGTTCATTATGTCATTCTCAAGTATCAGGGGAGAAATAGGTCCATGAGATATTTCTTACTTCTGTCAGTGGAGGAAAACCAAACCATGACACTGCAAATCAGTTACACTACATATGAGCCCAATGCAATTGATCCTATTTAACCTTTGTCGGTGTGTAGTTTGTCACTATATTTGTGTTCTTTTTTTTTCAGCTTCTTGATTCTTTCATCTTGATAAAGGGTTGTTTACCGAGCATGAATGAAGAGTTCCCTTGGTATTCAAAAGCGGTTTTCCGAGCGAATTATTTGGTTGTTTCGGTGTTCCTTTTTCTGAGGTTTTTGGTTCTAGGTATTAGGAGATGAAGTTTATGAAGTTGGGATCAAAGCTATGCATTCAGGCGGATGGCAATTGTATCAGAGTTTGAACTTTCCAGAAACGTTGCCAAACCTCCATGAAAACCTCACCCACAACTTGTAAACCACAACACCTTAACCAGTAACCCTGCTTCAATCCTTACCCACTCTGTGAAAGCCACAATACCTTAAACCAGTAGCTCTGTTTTAAACCTTACCCACATCTTGTCCCTTCAAATTGAATCCAAATGTTTTTCCTTTCACCATGTAACCTTATCCAGTGACGAACTGCTCAAGATAACTGAGCTGGGCAGGGATTGCACTTAACTCACAAGATACAGCTTAGATTGGTTTGTCCATTTTCTGGATCTGGCATCTGAGGATGATGGTGGCCATAAATGGAGCAAATACAGGGAGAAGGGGAGATCGTATTTCATAGAGATTAGAGAAAAATATGAAAGGAGCCCATGTGATCTTTTTGGAATTTTTTGGTAAAGGCCAAAGCAAATCCATCATTATTCCCAACGGAAATAAAGGAGAAGGATGGAGAGCTTCCAGTTCCCAAGTTGAAATGGAGCTGACCTCTGGAACAGGTATTGTGGAGAGTCGTAAGATGGAACATGTAAAGCCCAACACAGAGGGCAGGGAAGTGATTAACACAGATAAGGATAAATTAACTGTCACACCAGAAGTGTTAGCAGTAAAAAAAAACAAAAATTCAATCAAAGATGTCAATGAGAGTAGAAAGCTTGGACAATGGTGAAAGTATCTGGAAGGAAGCCTTGGTGCATGAGGTTAAAGGAAGACCGAGATGGACTCTAGTGGTTCAAATTGTTTCAGATGCTCTATGTTCTACCTTTCAACAATCATGAAGCGGTCCTATTTTTTTTTATCGGCAAATGAAATTTATTTTATTAGAAGATAGATAAAATTAACACACTCAGATGAAAAGACCGCCAACACAAGAACACAAGCGAGTTTACAATGAAGCCTAAAAAAGTTGCTGTCTTATGATCCCTTGCTTAGCAGGGGAATCAGCCATCCTATTTGCAGTCCTCATGGGGGTGCAAATGGATCGGATCATGATCCAATTCAAGTTCAATATCAGATATCCCCCAGTCAGATTTTAGATCAGATTGAATAATAGGATGCGATTAAAAAATCTGATCAAATTTGGATCACCCACTATATATATATATATATAAATGTATTAGTTACTTATATATTTATAAATATGTTTATATTGCATTTTTGTAATTTGTATATTATTTTTAATATAGACTGTTATGTTTTTTTAATAATTTGTTAAATTTTACAGAAATTAAATTGTATCATATCAAATTTAGATATCCAACATCCTAAACAGATTTGAATTCGAATTGACCTTTGTGAGATCTGATCAGATTCAGATATACCCCTATTCAAATCCAATCCAATCTGTTTGCATCCCTAGCTTCTCACCCACTTGAATTCAGCATTCAAGCAGTCCTAATTTCTGCGGAGCTTCAAGAGAAGGCTAAAAATTTCCTTGATATTTAGGACTACACTACTTAAGCGAGATACGGTTTAAAAAATGGAACCAGAAGTCAATGAGGGAAACCAGGTTAGCAAGGAAGTAGCAATGAGTTATTTGGGTTACTGGTTATCTTTTCCTTTGTGGAACTCGATAACATTGGAAATTAGTTGGAACTCATGTGGTTGTTTCGTTGGTGTTGCAAGGGCAACTGGAACCCTTACTAATCTTCAAGCAGCAACAATTCTTGTTCAAGCTAAAGATTGGTAGAAAATCCCTCACGTGGTTTAAGTGATTCGGAGAGTACAACATTCAAATCAAGGTCAAAATACTAGATGTAAAGAAATGAAGCTCGCACCTCAGGTCACTGGTGCTGATGATGACAACAGAAAATGTACAAGGCCAAACGCAGGAGTGGTCAACATTGATACCTGGACCAAGTAAACAGGTGATCAGCACAGCTGAGTTGCAAAAGAGGTTTTTGAGAGCATACAACAAGAAATACCAAAGATGGGAATATCTCTAATGGAGAAGAGGAAAATTACAAGATCAGTATGAGATAGGTTGATGTTTCCCATTCAGGGGGAACTGAGGAGTCTGACAAGGCTCAAGGTAGGAGTGATAACCAAATGAAGAAATTTTTGGCCAAGGAGAAAGATATGTGGAGAGGGAAAGAAGATTGAAGGATGCCACTTAAGTTATTAGTTGAGGGGTGAAATTCCTATATTGGCCCTAATGCAGACCAGGTTAGAGAATAGTCTAAAATAAATGAAGTACTTGAACAATAGCCAACCCATGTGAAGAGAATCCTCGAGCTTGTACAGAAGGTATCTAGGTTGAAGGCCAATTGTTCTAAAAGTGACTTAGTGTGGATTCATTTAGAGCAGAGGGAGCTAGGGGAGAGTCCAGCCATTTGAGGGTGTAATAATAAAGAGTTGCCTGACCAAATATCATGTGTTACCTGTAGGAGACTCTCCACAAGATCTAGGCTTTCGAGAAGTTGTCATAGCAAGGTTTACAAAAAATTGGTTGTATGGAAGAAATTATATTTCTATGGGAGGCAGGTTGCCTCATATAAAATCTACTTTCTATAACCTCCTGTTCTACTTCTCCTTGTTTAGAGCCATAGTCAAAGTGATAAAGAGAATCAAAAAAATTACAAAGGATTTCCTTTGGGATCATGGGAATGATAAGAAGGACCATTTGTTGAGTAACTTGAGTTGGAAGAATGTAACAAGTAGTAAGGAGAGAGGGGGTTCAGGAATAGGAAGGCTGAGACAGAAATACAGCTCTTTTGGGGAAGTGGCTTTGGAGGTTTCCCATTGAGATCAATTCTGTGGCATTTGGTAATCAAAATCATTCATGGGATATGCTCTAATGGGTGGGAGTGAAATTTTGGGAAGACATATGGCAGGGCAAGTGAGTGACACTCCCCTCTCTAGTGCTCACCCACGCTTGTATAGCCTGTTCTTGCATAAAAATAAAATCGTTGCTGATATGGCCACACCCTTGAAAATGGCAATATCTCTTGGAATTTGGGATTTAGGAGATGTTTGAATGATTGGGAGCCGAATGACCTGTTAGATTTCTTGCAAAATATGAATCCTGTTTTCATTCATTTTTCTGGACAGGATGAGAGAATTTGGATTCCATGCCCTTCTGGCTCTTTCTTCGCTTCCTCCTTTTTCAGAATGCTTGATACTGCACAATCCCAACGGACAGACCAAGTAAAGTAATTGCTTGGCAGCCACCACTAGCAAGCAGTCTCAAGCTCAATTTTGATGGCTGCTGCTTGTGTAACCCGAGTGATTCAGGGGTTGGTGGTCTGGTAAGGGATGAAACTGGCTCGATCAAGTTAAGCTTCTGTGGTGAAATTGGTGCTGGTATCTCTTCAAGGGCCAAATTGTTAGCAGTAAAACAAGTACTTAAACTGCTGGTACTATAGAATTGAAAGGGGGTGATCATTTAAGTTGACTGTAAAGTTGTTATCCCATGTCTCAACTCTGATGCAGAACCAGCTTGGATGTTCAGAGTACTGATTAGGGAGGCCAAAACCTGGGAGAAACCTGAACTGCTCATTCAGGTGGATTCCTTGATCAGCTAACTCCTGAGAAAATAGTTTAGCTCAAGCTTGGGTCAACTATGGGGAATGCCTGGGTCAGGGGTCCATTTGTATCCTGAATAGAGTCTTGTATGGTTTTATGCAATCAGCTATTTTGCTACCTTTGTACTGTCCCTGCTGTCTATTCTGGATAGATGTGGGTTTTCTTCTCTGCTACTAATACAATGCTGTTATTTATCAAAAATAAAATAAAATAAAGGTACCTTTGACCTTATTGAAAAGAGACTGGGCCAAATGGGTCCTAGTATCTTCTCTTGTAATATCTTTTCTTTTATTGTTGGCTAATGGGCCTCTCTTAATGGGCCTGTTATTTAGTTTTGTTTAATCTCTTTATGTTACTGCCTAGCTTGCCGCCCACTTAAGGGCATACTTGTCATTACCCTAACTTTAGATCTTAATAAAAAAAGGATTAGAGGAGAAAGGGAAGATAATTCGATTCTTCTTCTTCTTCCTTCTCTTTTCGCCATCTTCTTCTCTTGTGTTGCTGCTCTTACTTCTCTTCTTCCTTTTTCTTCTAATCTTCAAATTTACACCTAATATCTGAGGACTGATTTACATCTCTTATGAATTCTTCTAAATAGGAAAAACAAAGATATAAACAAAATCCACAAGGAAGAAAGAGACACCATTTTCCAGTGAAAGAAACAATCTATAATATAGGGATCAATTCCTTAAATAAAAAGAAATATTTACAGATCTATCAAACCAACCTCCTGGAAATCCTCAAAATCAACAGCCAGATTCTCAACTTCAAACTGTTCAATAGAAGCCATATTATTCTCAGGTGATTTCTCTTCCTCGCAGATTAATTCAATATGCTCATTTTGCTCATCTAAAACAACAATAAAAGTCGTCAGATTTGTGATGAAGCTCCAAAAGTTTTAAGTAATGGCAATTTCATTGAGTGAAACATAAACATAGATGAAGCTCCAAAAAATAAATCTGGATAAAAAAATAGATGTCACTATTATAAAAAGAAATGCAGCAATAATGCACAATATAGGAAAGAATAAATTTACCACCAACATAATTTATTTTGCACATAACTGGATGTTTCATTAAACAAGTAGAAGTTTCAAACAAAAGAGAAAAAAAGAGACTGGCCCAAACATATTTCAGGTAGCTTGTTCACTTTGAAAATCCAGCCCTCATATAGATAATATATGGATAAAAAGAGGACTAGCTTCCATTATGCTTTTTTTTTAATAAGTATCAAGAAAACTTTATTAAAAAAGAAAATACTAACCTGAAGGAAGGTGTTAAGATAACACCCTCCAAACCCAACAACAACTAGTAACTGCCTAGAACATAAAACAGAGAGGGAAATCAGGATATGAAACCACTCTTGACATCAACTGCATCACCAACAAAGCAATTACTAGGCTCAGGTAAATCTTCCACCTCACCAACTCTTCTCGGCCTCCTTCCTCATCCCAAATTTCTCCCCCCAAACGCTTCAGAAGCCTTTCTCAAGTTTTCTTCCTTCCTCTTCCTCTCTATTAACTTAGAAAAAAGTCAAAAAAGGGATGAAAGAAAAAGAAAGAAAATCACAGTAGAAAGGTTCAGTTGCTAGAGAAAGTATAGAAGAAAAGAAGAGAAAAGATGAAAAAAAAGTTTTCAAAAGAGACAATATCGAACTTAACTCTCTCATCTCTCACTGTCGACCCAAGTAATATTCAGCTTCTAAAGATGACAGAAATTATAATAATGACCTTAATAAGATATTTTAACAAATAGACTAAAAACAAAGGTAAATAAGGACAAAACTGCCCCTATAAACTAGACTTAACACTCCCCCTATAAATCTCCAGCTTGTTACAAATGTAATCCATTCAAGTGGGGCTTAAGCTTTGGGTGAGCAGATCAGTTAGTTGATATTCTGATCTCACATATGGTGTAACCACAGTACCACTTGTCACCTTTTCCCTCACAAAATGACAATCAACTTCAATATGCTTACTTCTTTCATGGAAGACTGAGTTTGAAGCAATGTGAGTGGCAGCTTGGTTATCACAAAATAACTCAATTGGCTTGTCAATAGGAATGCCTATCTCTTGGAGGAAATGTTTCAACCAAATCAATTCACAAGTGGCGTGTGCCATTGCTCTATACTATGCTTCAGCACTGCTCCTAACAACTACACTTTGATTCTTGCTTCTCCAAGTAATGAAATTCCCACTGTTAGAATGCTCGAGTCAGGGGTATTTTGGTCATTCTGGTTTATCTTCTTGAAAGTGAAAGGTCTATTGTATCTGAGTTTAAGTTATGTGTCCCATCTT